AGAAGAGAGAGGAGAGTGGAGAGAGGGGAGAGAGAGAGAGGAGAGAGGGAGAGGAGAGAGGAGAGAGGAGAGAGGGAGAGAGAGAGAGGCACCGCGATGGCCTCTCGTGCCACCGTCCCCTTTCCCGGTCGCCAGGTCCTCGCGGACTGGGCTTGGCGCGTTTGCAGCCGCCCGTGGTTGGCAGATGGCTGACGCTGTTGCAGCTCCATGTGCCCCAGGTGGGCCTTGGGCTGGGCTGGGTCTCCAGGGACTTGATTCTTTTATTTCAGTTTTTTTTTTTTTTTTTTTTTTTTAGATTTTTGCCATCCATGAGTTTCATGTCCTCGCTGGAGACAGAGAGAGGGGAAGTGAGAAATCACCCCCAGCGGGTAGCCATGCTGCGATCCCTTGTCCTTTGTCCTTCTCTCAGGATTTCGGGCATGCACACCCATAAGCTCGGCATGATTTTCAAGCTGTGGGTCCAGGACTCGAACCGCGGTCAGCCTCGTGGAGCTCGGCTGCCTTAACCACCATGCCTGCAGCCGGTCCCTCCTGTAAATTATTTGGGACCAGCTTCTGCACTGTGTCATGTGCTGATTATGAGTGGATGGGAAGTAACAGCCTTGCCTTTGCTGCATTCTCAGAGGGTAACTCCAAACGTGAGGACATGTGAGCCGTGGCCAGAGGCATGGTGACAATCTGCGGGGCTGCGGAGGGCTGAGGGTGTGGGTGGCATCAGCCTTGGGCTTGATGAGATGCAGGCAGAGCCAGGCAGCAGTGGGCGGCATCCAGGTGACGTGGGAGCAGCCTTATGGACGTGCAGGGCTGCAGCAGAGGGACGCAGGGGCAGGGGAGTGTGACGGAAAGTGGGCGAGCGTTGTGGTCCACGCGAGCACTGCAGGAAGAGTGGAGGGTGGGACAGGAAGGCGGAGCGGAGTAGAAACGGTCAGTGGGCTCCGGAGCTGGCCTGCATCCTGCGTGGTCTGCGGCCCTGACTTGCCCTCCGACAGACCGCACCGATTGCAGCTTGGTCTCGAGTTTCCCAGCCAGCTGCTGGTGGGGTGAGCTGCTCCCGGAGGGCCCTGCTGTGCGCTGAGGGCCCCCAAATGCAGCGCGTGGAGTCTGAGTCCTGAGAAGGCACCCGAGGCAGCCCCGCAGTGCGGGGTGCGAACACGGGCGGGGAGAGAGCCCAGGCGTCTCGTGGGGCAGGGGCTTCCTCAGCAGAAAATCACGCTGGCTCGACCCACTCACTCTCCGCCCTAACGAAGACTGGCACCGGGCTCCGGTATCCAGGTGACACGTCTTATTGTGAATCCTCCGAGGTGTCGCCCAAGGCCTGTGCCTGGACTTTCTGGTTTCAGGCCTCCCTGAGGTCACCTTGCGCCACGGCAGAGCCCTGAGCCTTGCCCGCGTGGCGGCTACAGCGGGACGCCTGGGTGCTGCGCTGACACTGAGCGGCCTCGTCGGTCCAGGCACCCTCTGGGGAAAAGAAACACGAGTGCAGTTTTCCGACTGTCCTTGTTGGACGGGAAAGCTGTTCTGACTTGACCTCACACGGGTCTCCTGGTGTGAACGCATGTCTGTGGGAGACATGAAGCCGTCCCTTGAAGCAGGGCCGGGCACTCGGGAAGGTCCTGCTCTGTGCTTGGGCACCCGGTCAGCCGCGGAGGCCCAGGCGCACCCTAGCAGACCACACGGGCACGGGCACACAGAAGCCTCTCCTTTTCCCTGCGGCCTGAGACCTGGCGTCAACGACTCTGGGAGAAGCAAGCTCCCTGGAACTCCACGTCGAATGTCTGGTGACTGCCGAGTGGGTGGGCACCATCGGCTCCCGGCAGCGCGCTCAGCCTGGGCTCTGTGCAGAGCAGAGCAGGGGCCTCGGGGAGCTGCACCCAGACCAGCCCTCTCCCTTCTCGATGGGGACATGATGCCAAAGGGGCATGCGCCAATATGGGCGGCCTGAGAACTGAGCGCTCCACTTCTCTGGCGGGAGCCAAGCCAGCCAAAAGGAAGAGGCACCCCCAGATTCTGCCAGGGTAGCAGTGAGAGTGAAGGCCCTCGTCACCATGAGCAGGTTGGTTGTCACACCCCGCTGCGGAGGACCAGGCCGGGTGGGCTCTAGAACCCTCCTGTCTGAGGCCTAAGAGGCTGGCTCTCCCTGGTGCTGCCCCCCCCCACCCCCCAGCCTCTGCACATGCGTGCCCAGCCAGGGCTCAGCACAGGTTCCTCTCTGTCATGGCCTCTGTGGGCGCAATCTGAGCCCTGCCCGTGGCCATGCCAGAACGTGGAGCCCCTGGTCTGACCTACCCCCGCAGCCTCCCGCTTCTAATGCCTTGCCAAGGCAGCCCGGCCTGAGTGACTGTTTTTACAGGGTTTAGGAGCCACATGCAGGGACCCTTTCTCTCTC